ATGTATTGTGGCGCTATACCTGGCCATGTCAGCTTTTACAGTATAGCGCCACAATACCTGGCGATATACATTAACGGTTCCATTACTGTTAATGTATAACGCCAGGTATTGTGGCGCTATATATAAAAATATAACTTTTTTTTAACCACCTATTTGTATAATTTGAGTAAAAAAAAAAACCACATTTTGGTTCCGGACTCGTCCTCACGCACGCTCCAAGAAGAAGTATATCATTCTCTTCGCACCGATTGTTTCCCTCTTTTTCTAATTAAACACACACACGCACTTTCTCTCTCTCTCGTAAAAGTCACAACATCATGAGGAGGCTATTCGGCAGAGGTTCCGCCGGAGATTCGCCGCAGCAACCTTCGCCGTCACCATCGCCGCCACTGTCCTCTCTTCACTCCTCCGTTAACATTGCAGCTGGTCCGGCGAGACCGATACGTTTCGTGTACTGCGATGAAAAAGGAAAGTTCCAGCTCGATCCGGAAGCCCTTTCGATACTTCAACTCGTGAAGGAGCCAGTTGGTATTGTCTCCGTTTGTGGTCGCGCTCGTCAAGGCAAGAGCTTTATACTTAATCAGGTAAATTTCAGTAAAGTTAGAGATAAAGGTAAAGCCTTTTTGTATGTGTTTTTGTTAATTATGTTAATTAAGGTTTGTAACTTAGTGTTATTCTCCGATTCTATATGAGAGTGAGCCTAATGCTAGGGTTGTGCTTCTCAGTGCTAGTTTTGGTTAGAATTGGGATTTTGGAAACTAGCCATCAATTATTTAGTTGTTTAATGACTAGAATTTCAAGCATATTGCTCTGAAACTTGAGATACATAATCATTAAATCACTCAATCAACTGTGCCTTAGCTCCAGGGTTTAGTTCAAGTGGCAAAGGTTGAGGGACGTGTGACTTAGTTCACATGTTCGAGCCCTGCGCCATTCGAACTAAGCCAGCTATTTAAGTGGGGAAGTATAGAGAGGTGGGCCCATCCGAGTTTCTAAGGCTGTACCTGGTCCTTAAGGTTTGCCCTAGATGGATTTCTCGATCATAAAGAAAAAAGAGCCTTAATTAAATGGTACCATTAAAGAAAGAAAGAAAGACGTAGAGCAAAAATATATTTGGAAGAATTCACGAAGCACACTGGGATTAGAATGTTGGGAAAGATATTTATGAGTTGGTTGAAGGATGTTCTTTGTACGGGCTTAACTATTTTATGTTAGCTCAACATGCTTATCCAGATGAATTAGATTGCTTTCTAGGAGTGGTTTAACCTATCAAAGATTTTTACCTTTAAAAGTTTACATAACTCAGTAAATTTATAGATAAAATAAAGCCCTTTTTTGTGGTTAATTACGTTTCTTAGGGTTTATAGTTTAGTGTTAATTTTTCTGATTTTGTGTGAGAGTGAGTGTGAGTTTATGGTTCTGTTTGTTAGGGTTTTGCCTGTCAATGTTGTAGGTTTTGGTTAGAATTGGGATTTTGAAAGCTAGTAGCCAACTATTTAATTGTTTGAGGACTAGAATTATCAAGCACATTGCTCTAAGACTTGAGATACAGAATCACTAAATCAATCAATCAAACCATGACTTAGTCCCAGTGGAGACAAAATCACTAGGCAACTTCTTTCCATTTGTCTAAGCTTTGGTGGACAGAATTACATGGTACTTGTGCTGTTGAGAGGTAACTGGTCCACTGTTGTAGAATTAGTCGAGGTGTGTACAAGTTGACCCGAATGCCATCGTTGTCGAAAAAAAAACTATGCCTTAACCCAAACCTTAGACCCAAACATGTTGGAGTCAACTATATGAATTCTCACTTCATTTAAGCTCAATTCATGTCATCGTTATTCCAATAAAAATTATAAGTGAAAAGTAAGTTAAATACATATATAAATAATAGTCATAATAATAATTTTTGAAATTCTCGAATAAAACTAAATCTTATTCCTCATTAGTAGATACCACTTATACCGATCTTTTTATCGGATGTCCCATAAATATTGGAACTATATAGAGAAGATTAGCATGAACCCTGCGCAAGGATGACACACACAAATCGAGAAATGGTGCCAAAACAATGGATTTTTTTCTTCCATTGTACCATTAAAAAAAATAAAGAGGTAGAGCAGAAACATGTTTGGAAGAATTCACGAAATACACCGGGATAAGAATGTTGGGAAATATATAAATGGATTATTTGAAGGAGGTACATTGTACGACCTTAACTATAGTGAGTTAATTAAACATGCTTATCTATACGACACAACAAGTATTTGCTTTGCAACAACAACACCACCCTAGTGTAATCCTACCAGTAGGGTCTAGGAGGGTAGAATGTACGCGGACCTTACCTCTACCCGAAGAAGGTAGAGAGGCTGTTTCCGGAAGACCCTCGGCTCAGAAATGATAGAGAGGACAGAGTAACAACAAGCAACAATACCAGCAAACCAAACAGAAAACGGAAGCAAGGGAAACGGTAAGCAATAACAGAACTATAATCTCATAATAAGAAAATACAAAATTAACACTGAGGGATGCATTAAAACTACTGGAACGAGCAAGGACACTGCTCGGCTACCTAGCCTATTACCTTAATTCTTGACCTCCACACGACAAATATTTGCTTTAGTTTATCTAAATTGTTTGAAGGGTAGCCTTGGAGCAACGGTAAAGTTGTCTTTGTGTGACCTATAGACAGTGTTGTGAAAAGCGCTCGTTGCTCGTTTCAGCGCTTTAAGCGTGAAGCGAAGCGAGGCGGCCACTGTGTCGCTTCTGTAGGGTGAAGCGTAGCAGGTAGGTTGAAGCGTCCGCTTTTGCCAGAAAAGCGAGAAGCGCTCACTTTTGTCTTTTAAGTCACTGATAAATAAAAAAGCTCAGTCTTTTTTTTACAAAATCAGCGAGCAGCAAAGCAAGCAACGACTAGTGTTTCATTTTAAAGCCCAGGGTTTTTCTTCTTCTTCGTCTTCTTCTTCTTCTTCTCAATGCTTAAAATAGCAGCGAAATGCTACCAATTTTTTTTCCCCTTCAGTTTTTCTTTTTCTCATTCTCTTCTTCTTCTTATTATTTCTTCTTCTTTTTCTCATTCTCTTCTTCTTCTTATTTTCGTTTCAAATCCTTAAAATTGTAGCGAAATGCTGCCAAATTTTTTCCCCCTTCAGTTCTTCATCTTTTGTTCTTAGTCTCACTGCCATTTTTTTTAGTATTGACAGTTACATGTGTTGTATGCAGTTACATCTGTAACATGTGTTGTCTATGCAATATTAATTTTAATATTTTTCTTAATTCTACTTCACTTCATAAAAGTGAGCTCTTCGCTTCACGCTTTAAGCGAAAAGAGGCTTGTCGTTTTTCCTCGCTTCACGTTCTTCACAACACTGGTATTGACACATATTACATTGGATAAGTTCTTATGTCTGCAGAGAGTGGGTGAAGAAATCTTGCGCTCTAGATTATTCTCATCACCTGAATATGCTTCAGAACTCATGTGGAATACAAATAACTGTTGCCATTGAGCCAAAAAAAAATCATCAAACCAGAAATAGCATTATTGCAAATGTTTATCTGTGACTGTGTGCCTTCAACTACCCAAAGATTGTCTTCGTTAAAACTACTTATCAAAATAGC